GGGTCCTGATCTCCCTTCATGAAGGTCATCCTGGCATTGTCCGGATGAAGGCTCTTGCCCGTAGTCACTTATGGTGGCCAGGGTTAGATAGGGACATAGAGGCACATGTACATGGGTGTCACTTGTGCCAGCGCTCGAGGCCAGAGATGCCCCAGGCACCTGTGCACAAGTGGGAAGAAACGCTTAGGCCGTGGTCACGCGTACACGTAGACTACGCTGGACCATTTCAGGGGCAATTCTTCTTGGTGCTTGTGGACAGCCATTCTAAATGGCTGGAGGTCATACCTGTATCGTCCACCACTACTGGCAGAACCATCCAGGTGTTGAGGGGCATTTTTGCAGCTCACGGCTTGCCAGATGTCTTAGTTTCAGACAACGGCCCGCAGTTCACGTCGGCTGAGTTCCAGGCTTTCCTTCAAGCAAACATGATCCGGCATGCGACATTGGCACCTTTCCACCCTTCCACCAATGGTATGGCTGAACGGATGGTGCGCGTCACCAAGGACGCCCTGAAGAAGCTGACTTATGGGGATTGGCATCATCGGTTGGCTGATTTCCTTCTTGCTCATCGCACTACACCTTCTGTAGCGACTGGGAAAAGTCCGGCTGAACTACGCTGGGGTCATCGACTGACCACTAAATTGGACAGGTTGCATCCTGATCGGTTGGTTCCTTTGGAGTCTCCAACTAGGGCCCCACGGTGTTTGACCGTGGGCATGCCGGTGTGGTCCCGGAACTATGGCCCTGGCCACCCTTGGGTTCCTGCTGTTGTATGCAAGGTGACTGGACCGTTGTCATATGAGGTCTCCGTAGAGGGCGGCCGCGTCCTGAGACGACACATCAATCAGCTTCGCCAAAGACTGGACTCTTCTCCTCCTTCGCCTGGGTCTTCTGTGGGGGGGAGGGGGACCTGGAGGGAACAGGGGAGGGTTTGTCCCAAGGTTCCGCAAGTGTGCCCAACGGATATTCATGGGAGAATAACCCAGAACACCCTGCAACACATACTCCAGATAGTGAGATTTTCCAGGAGAGTCCTCCGAACTCACCTAATACAAGGGAATGGGCGTATGCCCAAGGAGGTTTGGTCAGTAGGTCCAGGTGGAAGTCTGCAGTTGGGACAGAAGCTGGAAGGGATGTTCATGACCCTTTTTCAGCTAACGCACAACATGGGGTGGTTGGTCCTTGAGGCACCGAGGACACAGGATACAGCTCGGCCTTTGTAGGTGGCAGCAAAACATTAGACTTCCAAGATCGGTCCATTGTGGACCTGGGAAATTCCACAGCATTCAGGAGTGGGGAACGGGGCCCTGACAGACCGGGTAGAACGGTCGTAGAGGGTGAGCCACCTTGTGGCAGAAAAGGAAGTCCTGGGCTGTGTAGCCCGATGGACAAGCTAGCAGGCCAGGCCCCTGTAGTTAAGTCACCGGGACCACCAGGGTATAGAAGAGGGGTTGTTCCCATCGCACATGAGGCTCATGGCAATGGAGAATGTTCCCCGGAGCTGAGGAGATCACAAAGAGAAAAGAGGTCCCCAAGATATTTGGAAGATTTTGTAAGGTTGTTGTCAACCTGTTAGTATACCTGGTAGCTGGGTGATAGCACGGTACCGTTTGTATCACCTGAGCCACCCTAGCACAGTTATAGGTCTTTTAGGCCTCACGCCCAATCAGAGGTCGCGGGCATGATACATGTGAGCACATGTGCCTGATGAGTTTAATCCAGGGGTGAAGGGGTGTTGTGTCCCGGGACTTGCAGCAAGCAAGCCCGGGCAGTTGCCATGGCAACGGGCTGCAGAAGCTGCCCGGGGGCCAGACAAACTGGCGACAGCCTGCGCGCATGCGCAAGGAAGCGTGCGCGAGCAGTAGCAACTTTACCCGGACTGTTCTTGTTCGTTGTTGTTGGTTGAAGCAGAGGAAGAAGCAGGAGGCCTGTGAGTCTCCGTTTTCCCTGTATGACTCTAAGTGCCATTAAAGAAGACATTTGGTTCACACAATGCCTGTTGTACTAGTCATTGAATCCAAGGATTTAACACTAAGTTTCCTATAACTCACTTTCTAATCATTTTTGGAAACTACTTTAAATTTAGGCTATTAGAAACCTTCAGAAAAATAAGTCTGAAACCACCCAGTAAGTTTGCATTCAATTCTGAATGAAAGAAAATGTTAATCATAAACTTAAGAATTTAAAGAATTTGAAATAAACAACCAAAAACTAAATAATATTGTGATGTTACAAATTTATAAACAGGTAAATTTGGAGTATAGAAACGTTTACAATAATATTTTGAAATTAATGTTTTAAAACTCAAATTATGAATGACCTTGTGGAAAGAGGGGAAGAGATACTGTCTAGGAAGCAATCAGACAGGAGAGGCAGGAGCCCCCAGTGGCTTAATGATCAAAGAAAGAAATGAAGGGAGGACCCACCCTAATGGATCAAATAGTTAAAAGTAGAGGAGGGAAATTCTGTTAATGTAGCCTTACAATAAAATAGAATTTGTTTATCTGGTTGTGTTTCCTGTCTGGTTTACCTGGAAGGGCAGACATCAATCTTACCTCCCTTTTTCCATCTCCTTCCTCCACTAATAAAAAATCTGTACTAAATAAAGTAATTGTTTGTTTCTAGTTTAGTAGATAAGAGTCTGTTTCTTGTTTTACATTACCATCTATACAGCACTGCCTTCTCTGTATAATGCCAAGATTGTATTCTCTATTTACCTTCACAACTGGGTGTGGCTGCAGTCCACTTTCCCAAATCTGTGCACTGAAGTTGATTTGTTCCAATGCGTACAAAACCCATATCACAGGAGAAGGCACAGCTGGAATTATAAGCAAAACTCCCATGTGGATGAGAACAATTTAATTCTCCATTCTGAGGAGCATCCAGGTTTGGGCATTCAATAACTAGAATGAGAGAGATTGTTGGTAAAAGAAAGAATTATGACAGCCAGCCCAATCATTCCAAAAGAAAGTCCAAGAATGAAAGCAATTCTCTTCAGAAAAAAAAGTGGAGACAACTATTCCAGATTACAGTATGGTGGTTAAGTTGAAATTGACCAAAGTTGAAAGAGCTGACCAATTACAGAAAGTCATTAAATTTCATTGCAGAAAACAGCAACAAAAATCAAGGTGGGGAGAAGGAACATTACCCTGGCATGCTGGTAATGGAGAACTCCAGTGCCTGGTTGCCAAGCAGAAGGTTGTGTTTGCTCCAGCCAAGAGAAAGCCAGGTTCACATACAAACTGACAGATGGATTGGTAAGCAAACTCTGCAAACGGGTGTGAGCAGGCCATCTCCCCATTTTTAGGATTCTGCAAATGGTGGCATTGCATAACTGAAATTAAAAACATCCATAGATTTTATAAGGATACTGACTTTCAAGCATCAGTTTTATGATGGATTTTTCTTAAAAGAAATCATGCTTAGATATTCAGTTATTGCTATACATGCTGCAATTACCCTTGTTGAACAAGGTCCATTCCCAATCTTTCCCGATGAGCACTCACTTTCACAGCAGGGTGATGTTGTAGTCCAGGGGGCTTCAAACATGGCCCTTTTATGACTTGTGGACTTCAACTCCCAGAATTCCTCAGCCAGGCATGCTGAGTTTCACATACAGTTGTACTTCACAGAGCTTCTCGAGCACTGCTCTCACTAAATTGAAGTGCTCCTCCATGGTCTCCGTGAAAATCAAAATGTCATTCAGGAAGACCAAAACTCCTTTATATAAATGTTCATGCAAGACCTCATTTATCAGCTGCATGAACACTGCCAGGGCTCCCTGTGGTCCAGAAGGGAGGACCCAGAACTGGAAACAGCCCAGGGGACAATTAAAAGCAGTCTTCCACTCATCCCCCTTCTTAATCCACACCTGGTAATAAGCTTCCCTCAGGTCCAATTTCTTGAAGATTCTCCCCTTGGCCATTCTCATTGGCAGCAGGGTATATGCGTTCTCTATGCAAATAGCATTTAGCCCCCAGGGATCGACACACAATCCCAGGAAGCCATCTTTCTTTTCTCTGAAAGGCACTGGTGCAGCTGCAGTGGATGCTGCAGCCATCATTGCAGATATCCCTGATGCAAGGGATTGTTCCCCCTTGGCTGACCAGTTATGCATTCCCAACTCCTGGAAACTTCCTCTCAAGTGGTCGAGTGCTGGGTCAGGCACTGCAGCCAGACGACCTTGGACTGTGGGGTTGTCCCACTTCATAGCTTGTTAAGCTCGGCTCTGTCTCCTTTGGGTAACATTAAAGCCCTTTCTCCTCAGGGGGAATCCTTCCTCCGCTCTTCCTGTGCTGTGGAGGGAGGCACTGCCTTACCCCCCACTCCCTTTGGGCAGGCACTGAGCTCCATCTGATTGGCCTGGGCCCCCTGCTGTGTTCCCGAGGCCTCAGGCTCTCCTTTTGGCCTGATCCCCTTCTTCTCCTCCAGGTTCTTCCCAGGGAGGGACATGTTTGCAAAATCTACGTAGATGGTTTTCTCTGGGTAGATTGCTATTGCAGATCCAGCTTAATATCACCCGCACTTCCCTTCCCCCCTTTTCTATGGCAGGCTGCCAGTGGCAAGTAGGTTTCAGCACAGCTTAGCGGCAGCCCTGACATGATGGCAAAAGAAGGAAAGCATTATTGTATCCACCACTCATTCTTCTACCTTTGTGAAGGGAAAGATACAGACATATAGTGAAGTCTGAGAACTTAGTCATAGTATGCAGAGAAGAAAGCAAGAGGGGCTGTAAGACATGTAAATACATGTATAAAAACATACTATTCTATTGTAGGCTTTCAATCTATCATTTTGATCTGATATTCTTCAAGAAGAGATTTTTCTAAAAACCACATGGTCATTAAGCAAATCTTTGGGCTTTTCCCATTGACTTGATTTGTTTGAAGCTCCCTGGTAAGGTCATTAATAGTGATCATGGAATCGCGGGACACTGCAATCTTCATACATACATGCCATTGCCAAGCCCTTGAATTTTGATCACATGAACATGGGGATGCTGCAATGGTTGTAAATGTAAGACCTGAATGTAATCACTTCTTTCAGCATTGTCGCAAGTTCAAATGATTATAGGTTAAAAAATATCAGCTAATGAATTTTTATTTATCAGGCTGCTGCTAAAGACATAGGAACTCTGCAATTAAATCTTCTAAATGCATGAAAATAATATGCAAAATTAGTTAACTGAATAGATTAGCAATAGCTTTCCAGACCATGTATATTTTTGATGTTAGTCTTAATAGCAAAGAATAGCTATTTAGATAACCACTTCAAGCCTCACAAACTGAATATCTGTGTATGTCCTTCTCTGTACTTGGATTATTAATTTTTGGATGTCTTTAACTTTTGCTTACTTTTATAACATTATGTTCTGTCTAATGGTTGGGAAATGCTGGGAGGTTTGTTGATGAGGCCAATCAATTCATGATTGCCATAACTCTTTATGAGCAGACCAGCCTATAACTGCTGGATAACCACAGTTTCCCCCTCCTTAACTGCATGGATGTCATGGACATAAACAAACACAAACATTTCCTCATACAAAGAGAAAAAAATAACTTAGCAGTATCCCTAACTGGTGTGCAAAATGCAAGAGTGGTTAAGTGGCCAGTATGTTCTGACCAGAGAGAAGGAGTAAAATCGAATGAGAGGGTGAGGAAGTGAAGACCTTTGAAATGATGTTACAGGAGGAGCATCTTTTTTGGAAGGGAGAAGCGTTATGGAATAGCCAGGAACTCTGAAAATTGCTGTTTCAGAATTGACCATTTTCTTCCAAAAGAGATTATCTGCATCACACTCCAGTGCATGGGAGAAGGATGCTATTACAAATATAGTGGACACTATTGGCATTGTCGTGACAACTTGTGCAATTTGTAACAATGGGGACATAGTAAATCAATCAGAAGGTCTCCTCATCATCTTGCTATGCCTGCTAAATATCACTCAGTTCTCATCCCTAACATCAGAATCCCAAAATGGAGATTAAGGAGAAACAGAAAGCCCCAAACCTTGGCAGATTGGCTCTGGCGCACTCCATGTTCCAGACGCTTCACACATAGTGGTCCCTGCTCCATTGATCAGAAAGCCTTCTTGGCATTTAAAGTCGCAACTAGACTGGTAATGAAATTCCCCATGGATATGAATGCAGCTGAAGTTTCCATGTACAGGGATATTTAATGGCTGGCACTGGACAGCTAAGGGCAGGAAAGAAAGAAATCAGGTACAATGCTTTATAACACCACAAAAGATGTAAACATTCTGGAAAATTTGAAGTGATGAACAATCATTTTTTAGAAAACTGGAGACAAAACAGAATTATACAAAGAACTTATTTTTAGCACATTTAGCACATATATTATGGCCTTACTTTATAAAATATTATTTCATAGAAGTATATTTAGCCTATGACCGTGGTGGCGAACCTATGGCACGCGTGCCAGAGGCGGCACTCAGAGCCTTCTCTGTGGGCACGCACGCCATTGCCCCAGTCCTAGGCCTTCAGTTGGGTTTTATAAAACCTTTACACTTTAGGCCTCCACCGCCGTGTGCAAAAAAAAAAAAAAAGGTTCAATCAATCGATCAATTTCAAAGATCTCGCAAAGTTGGAATTGATTGATTGAACTTTTTAGTCCCGCCCAGTCTGTTGTTACGACCGCAGCCATGCCCACCCAATGGGCCACACCCACCCAATGGGCCACGTCCACCTGGCACCCGACGATACATAAGTGGGTTTTGGGTTGCAGTTTGGGCACTCGGTCTCTAAAAAGTTCACCATCACTGGCCTATAACATACAAAAGTATAACTTTATTATTAAAATATATATTTTATTTTTGTTACAAATGGAACTGCAAGCTGCTGGATTTTACACAATACAGCACCATTTCAGCCATATTGGGAAAGATACAGACACACGGTGAAGCCTGGGGACACAGTCATGGTACGTAGAGAAGGAAATAAGAAGAGCTGTAAGACATGTAAGCATATGTATAAAAACATACTATTCTATCATAAAATTCAAGATACCTTTAAGGACCTACTTCAGCTAAGCCACCCAAGAAAGCAGAACTCTTGAAACAAGCATTGTCTCAAAAGGAAACTTTTATTAGGAGCTAGTGACAGTAGGGAATCAAGGCGAAATCTGAGAAAAAAACTCGTGAAGCGATATATTAAAAGTAGCATTCAGGCTTCCAGTTTTGATGTCATGGAGAAATGGATGCAGGAAGATGGGGCTCCATCTTTCGCATTTGATTTCACTCCACTGGGGGACCCTGGAAAGGATCAAAAGTCACCCCATAGAGGCAACAAGTAAGGAGGGGACCCTCACTGATCATGGGGGGGTGGGGGCAGCAGCCCTCCTGTTTGATCCAAGGAAGCCTGCGGGGGAAAGACTGGCTACATTTGCGTAGCCAGTCCTAAGCTGCTGACAGCAGAAGACAATAAGCACCAACAAACAACATTATAGCAATGTGGATGAAGCTGGGTGAGACCTGATCCTCTCTTTATGTTTTAAGACCTCTTCCTGAAAAACTGCCCAAAGCACTCCCCCCGATGAGAGAGGGAAGGGGAATTTCTGCCCCACTCCCTCAGGAAAAGAAAAGTGGTGATTTAATTAAACTGATATCATTGATATTATTAGAAAACTATAATAAATGCTGATATTCAACTGTATATCTATTAATAACAATAAGAATTGTATTTGCTTAATGTGAAAAATGTTTATTACCGAAAGAAGAGAGGAGGTATTGGATAGTGTAATATTGGATTTAGTTTGAAGAAGCTTATATGTACTACGGACCCAGTCAACACATCTATTAAGCACTTGTTTATAAAAATAGAAAATTAATAAAATATTTATATAAAAAAGTAGCATTCAATACTCCTCCCCCCAGTGTCCCACTGTTCATTTGAATCCCAGGCAATCCACAGTTGGCATCGTGTTTTGGTAACCAATCTTTTTGGTGGGCTCTTCAAGACCTCTCTCACTTTCAATTTCTTCTGGCTCCAAGCACAAACCGTCTCTCCGATAAGGGTGAGACATTCCATCCCCTGAGTGAAGGGCAACAAGTCAACAAAGCAGACAGTGCAAAGCATCCCCAAAGGCTCCCCCCTCCCAACAGAATGGCAGGCAACAAAGAAAGCTACAAAGCTGAAATACATTTCTTTGGGGCCTGACAATACCATTTTGATTTAATAATCATTCAAGAAGAGATTTTTTTAATTACCTGAAGTCAAAAACTTTTCAACTACTAGACTAGTCAGTTGCCCTCTCCTGTTATGCATAAAAATCAGCTCAAGGATATGTATTGGCTACCAGTTGATGATCATTAGCTAAGGTAGAAATGCTTTCACCACCCCAGAAATTGTGGGGGAGTCAGCTGGGTCACCTCTGGTCGGTGGTGGGATTCAAATAATTAAACAACTGGTTCTGTTCATCATCATCACCGGTGCGATGTACCTCGCATATTTGTCATCATCGCATTGTTGTCATCACCGGCACGATGCGCGTCGCATTGACGTCATCACTGGTGCGACACACCTCGCAGATTTACCCTAACTGGTTCGCCGAATTCAACAAAAAGTTAGGCATCGGTTCTGCCGAACCGGTGTGAACCGGCTGAATCCCACCACTGTCTCCGCTTTCTCTGAAGATATATCAGGTTCTGGTATCAGGTTGCAAGGACTATTATTTCCAATACCTTAAGCAAAGAGAGCCTTGCTTATTCTAATAAATGACTGGAAGGATGCTGAGAATCAACCTATAACAATTCTAACTTATTTTTCAAATCTGCCTTTAAAAAGATAGCTGTTATTCACTGAGGTAGTAAACCTGCATGGTGTGAAAGGTCAAAGTACGATATAGATAGTGTAGCATATTTTAGACCTGTCACTATTCGGACACATGGGGAGTGTTACACTATGCAGCATACACAAGACTTCTATCTGTAATTCTTATCAGTATCCTTCCTGTAATAAAAATTCTATTCACAAGAATCCCTTTCCTACCTCTTTCTTGGTTTCCTACATTTTTTTTCTTTCCTTCAATGCAAATGCTAAGGGTTAAATGAGAATACATTCCTTTTCCTAAATGTTGAAAGATGAGTTGTTTCTCTTTTTCAAAATAATTTCTACATGGGCAAGAAGGGCCTTAAGAGGAAACTCCCAACCTTGGCAAACTGGGGCTGGGGCTGTCCATTTTCCAGAAGCTGAACACTCAGTGACCTCTTTTCCAAGTAACCGAAAACCCTTGGTGCAAAGAAAAGTGCAGCTGGATTGGTACTGAAATTCCCCATGGGGATGAACACAGGTGGTATTTCCATGAGCAGATGCCTCTAGGGACTGGCACTGAATAGCTAAGGAAGGGAACAGAAAAGTCAGTCAGAATGAATACAAATAACAGGTTTAAAGACCATTGAAGATGGCCTGGAAAAGATACTGCTTATTTGTTTATTTATACACTCATATACTGGCCTTAGTTACATTGTTTCATCTGGAGCTTAAGATGAGTCACATGATAGCAAAATGGATCCTCCATCAACCAAAAAATTCATCTTTGCCTTTCATTGCAGGAGGAAACCATGTTGGTCTATGGTGGGTAGCAATATATATATGACAACCTTTTAATAATATTTGCTAGCCAGAAGAGCTGCTGCTATACTTCTGATTTTTGCCACCATAGACCATATATATAAAATTGGCACACAGTCACCTGAGGACAAACCCACATCCCATACACACAGCATCGCTGGTGAGATTTAGATTTATCTTTATTTATTAATTGTTATGTTCACCAGCAACTCAATACTGCTTATTTTGTATTTGGGTTCTTACTGTATGTATTTCTATTTTTCCCAGTTTCACCATCATGTTCCTTTAATAAAGCATTCAGATCTATGTACATGGTCTGTTTTATTGGAGGATAGGTGGGTTTAGCTGCATGTCAAGCTGCACACAGTGTAATGTGTAGTAAGGACAGAACAAAAGTGTAAGCTTTTACAAGCAAATTCTAACTTGCACCTGCACACCCAACCTGTATTCACTTCTCCCCACCCCATCCCTGTTCACCCCAGTTTAAATCCTACATTATTTAGGCACTTTATGTATTTGAAGTGAGTGTAGCTCACAAAAATGTATTCATTTTAATAAAATTGGTTAGTCAGAAAAGGTGCCACCAGGTGCTTTCTGATTCTTTGTCTTTCAGCCAACTCATTTGCACTTTAAATCAATCCTATCATATGAAGATACTCATATTCTATGTGTAATTGGAAGGACTTAATTTAAAACTGATGTCATTTTATTCAAATAATCAACCTCTGTACATTTTAAATACTTGTGCTAATGAGTCCTGGATTTCCTTAAACACAAACATGATTTTTTTTTTTAGGTTTACTAATGAGTCAGTTGGTGTTGGTCTTTTCCTTCTCACCAATTAGTTCACAACATCAGTTCTACCATTTAACTATAATGTAAATTTGGCATGTCAAACTCGCGACGTCGCACAATGTATCGCGACTTTTTCCCCATTGCCAGCAATGGAGTGGGTGCAGTTTCGGTGTGATGTATCCGGCCCATGGGCCGGCAGTTTGACATGCCTGATGTAAATACCTACAGAAGGCTAATAAACTTTAAGTGAATTGTAATCTGTGAATTCTTAATATTAAAGTGTAATAGGAGTTAGGGTTTATTTAATTCTAAACAAGAATGGGTTAACTGAATCTCTGTTGTACTTGAATTATATCTACTGAACTCTATTGAAATCACTGAGAGCAATTATTCATGGCTAATCTAAATCTCATTGATTTGCATGCATCTTATAAAAATCTTCAGACATAACTCAAGTTATGAATAAATAGACTAAACAGAAATTTAAACATCAGATTTCAGAAAAGACCCATACAATTCCATTAGATACAGTACCTTGACATGTTGGTACGGGAGAGATCCAGTGACCAGATGCACGGCAAATCAAAGGCTGGGAATCACTAAGTTCAAAGCCCTCTTCACAAGCAAAGTTGCAAGTAGAGTTGTAACTATAATAACCAATTGGGTTTACACAATCCATCATTCCTCTTGCAGGTGGCTGAATTGACTGACATTGTTCAACTAAAAATAATAATAAAAAAGAATGTGAATGCAATTAGAATACATAGAATACATACCAGCAAAACATGCATAAAAAGACTGTGCAAAAGATAATACTTTCATCTGATTATATGTTTAGTAAATGGGAACGATAAATTATTACTACATTTCCCAAGGTTCCTAGCCTTCCCTCATACCAGCATGACAATTTCTCAATGAACCCAGAATTTGTAAAAGGTCTTCATGACACAAATTAACATATTTCAAATATAACTTAATCCTATGCTAGCCACCCATTTTCCTGGAAGCAAAAATTATTGCACCAATTGATTGACTTCTCAAAGCATAGTCCTTCCCTATTGAAATAATCTTTTCCAAATTTAATATACCCACTATTTGTCTATAACACCACAGTGTAATGCCGTGTATTTCTAGCCTCCAGGTTCTAAAACAATCGCAACATGTCTTTCTTGTCTTTTGGAGCCTGACATCAGAAAAACTTGTGCATTTTGTAACAATGGGGACATAGTAAATCAATCAGAAGGTCTCCTCATCATCTTGCTATGCCTGCTAAATATTACTCAGTTCTCATCCCTAACACTGGAGATTAAGGAGAAACAGAAAGCCCCAAACCTTGGCAGATTGGCTCTGACGCACTCCATGTTCCAGACGCTTCACACATAGTGGTCCCTGCTCCATTGATCAGAAAGCCTTCTTGGCATTTAAAGTCACAACTAGACTGGTAATGAAATTCTCCATGGATATGAATGCAGCTGAAGTTTCCATGTACAGGAATATTTAATGGCTGGCACTGGACAGCTAAGGGCAGGAAAGAAAGAAATCAGGTACAATGCTTTATAACACCACAAAAGATGTAAACATTCTGGAAAATTTGAAGTGATGAACAATCATTTTTAGAAAACACAGAAAATTTGAGACAAAACTGAAATATACAGAGCACTTATTTTTAGCACTTTTACATATATGTTGTTACTTTATAAAATAGTATGTAAAAGTATATTTAGTATATTACACACAAAAGTATAGTTGTATAATTATAATTATTTCTTATTGTTGTCACAAATGAGGATGCAAGCTGTTGAATTTTACAGAATCCAGTACAGCCTGTTTAGGAAAGGTAGGTAGGTAAACAGTTAACACTGGATTTCTCACACATCTATTGCCTGTGGTAAAAAAAACAACCCTGGCATTCTGGGCCAGAAAAACCGGAACTAAAGATGAATGCAAAACTGGTGGAAAATGAGAAAGTGAAATAAATAAATAAATAAATAAATAAATAGTAATTATTTTAAGAAAGTTTTATTTCATATATGCATTGATGTGTAATTTTTTAAGGCCTACTTCAAAATCAAGATACATGGTCAATATATTTCTTCTATTACATGTGTCTTTATACACAGGTTTTCCTTTTAAATCAGTTATGATAAGCAAATGGCCCTATCTAATGCATTATATTCACACTGCTGTTTCTATTTATAGCTTAATACCAAATTCAGAGGAGTACAGATAGCAGCAATTTAGTTTACATAGTAGTTTGAGAAATATGGGTTTTTAAATTTTCACATTAAAATACAACCTGGATAAACTTTGTTTTCATCCCTACTTCTTTTCTAAATAATAAAATACCAAGGATAATTGTCAGATTAGAATTGTATTTGATTCCCAAACACAGCAAGGTTGTAAAAGCCTCCATCCATTTTTACTCAACTAACCTATTCCCAATGTATGGCCTTGCCAAGGATCCATTATGCCAACACTTGGCACTAATTATGTTGGGTCATACCTGCACACAGAGGTACTTCCGCTGTCCACTGCCCAGATGACAAACATTGCAGGTTGACTGGGCCATTTATTGTAAAACCTTTATCACACCTGAAGCTGCAATGAGATTTGTAACTGAACTGCTCCAACGGATGAGTGCAATTCATGAGCAGGGCCTGATGGAGAGGGCCAAACAGGTTGCATTTTACAACTAAACAAAGACATGAAAAGATAACATTAAGCCATCATCATCACTGACAAAACTGTTTTTCCTATATTGCAACAAAGGGAGGGAAGTTCTTGAATTCTGCTGAATTCAACAGCGTGGCATCTAAATTGTCCATTAACATAAAACCTCAACTATTTTAAAAGCTCCTAAAAGAATATGACAATTATTTTAATAGCAAGAGATTTAATTTTCTTGAAAACATGGGTTCATCACTTTCTCTGTTGAATAAAATTGCTGAAAGAAAGACCACTTATGATCTAAAATATCTTAGGGCACTTCTTGACAAACCTTTATTCTAAGCCTATAAATCCTACCTTGTCCTGTTGTTTTCAGTGAATTGCTAGACTATTTCTTTAAGTCACTGATATTTTTCATTATGCTTGTAAAATAACTTAATAGAAAAACAAATGTTATTACATTGAATAATTTAAAAGTCTGATGTATTATCAGACTTAAAGATCTCTAAAGAGAAATTCAACTGCTTATTCAGTGCTAACCATAGGAATCCATGCTCTCTTCCCCCCACAGCACCCCTATGATGTAACCGATGCAGCTTTCCTGATGCTACTTACAGTGTTTTACAGAATATTAGCACAGTGAATTTCTTTAAATATTGTTTCAAATAAAATCAATAGGTTTCATCAACACTAAACAAAAATCACAACACAGGAGTTCCCACTCACAAAAGAGAAAACATTTTCTTCCTTTGTGACCAAGGTCTTCTTGGAAAAATAACTGGGCGACTGTTCAGCCTATTCCCCCAGAGAAAATAATAGAGCTGAAATAGAATGCTTGTAATGCTTTAAAGACTGAGGACCAAAGTGGACATGACATTTTTCATGTAGTTTGCTCTTGCATGAGGGAATCACACTGATTGTATCAGTACTGTGTCATGGAAACCGGAGTACTTAATTTTGTTATCCTTGCTGAGAACATGCCTCCTCCCCTTATGGTCGCTGCCTCTATACCATCTAATCACAATAGGAGGAAAATTTCATTGGTTCCAACAGACTCACCATTTTCACACCAAGGGCCATAAAAACCAGGGTAGCATTGGCAGGTGTAGTTCCCGATGGTCTCCACACATTCACTACGTTCGTTGCAGGAGAAAGGTTGACAAGAAGCTGCATAAAAATAGAATTGGATTAGAATTATGTAATGAGCTTTTTTTTTCTTCCATTCAACCATGTCCAATTCCTGGACAGGTCTCTGCAGCTTTCTTAGCAAGGTTTTTCAGAAATGGCTTGCCATTGCCTCCTTACTAGGGCTGAGGTAAAGTGACTGGCTCAAGGTCACCCAGCTGGCTTTGTGCCTAAGAAGGGACTACAATTCATAGTCTCCCACTCTCTAATTTGATGCCTTAGCCACTACACCAAACTGTCTCTTGTCATGAACATACTAGATATTTAAAACTTCTTTGGCTTCTTTCAATTACAAGAATTCTTTTGGGACAGAAAGCCATGTCAATTAAAATGGGAAATAATCTTATGACCAATTTCTCTTGCATTCAATCCAACATATGATCATTCACAAATGGGATCCATTGGAATGCTGACATATCAACAGTGATGGTAAATTAGGAAAAAAGAGACTTTGGCATGTATTACCAGTACTTTACCCATAAAAATAATCATTCTCAATTAGCAATATCTGAAAATCAAAAGGTGACAATTTTTTGTTTCATTTCCATTCACTCCCATCAGATTGTGGAACTGCTAGTCTTGCACCTATCAAAGATTAATGTGCTATATGAATACACAACTATAGTATGAAAGACAATATTTGACATGGCTGTCACAAAAAATAAAGTATGTTACTATTTTTAACCTCACTAATTTCTCTGTTCTCAGAACAGTATGTTTTTGTTCAAGAACATTCTTTAGAAAATTCCATTGCAACTGAACTCTTGCTAGCCATTTTCATGCTTCTTTATTTGTGTCAGAAGCACCTCCAAATTATAGACAAATTAGGTCTATAATTTTCATACTAAGAATACATTTATTTAAACTTTAACATTGAAAATCAAATCCATCTTTGTACTACCAGTATTTTATAGTACCTTTGTAGGATCTAGAATTGTTTTGCTGTCTACTTCTATTTCTTTAGATGTCAAATTTATCATACATTCAATAAATGCAATATATCTTTTATTATGCATTTCAGGCAATCCTCAATGTTAATTTCTCCTTTGACTCAAAAATGCCTTCTATTTTATTGTTTACTTTTAAGAAATAATTTCCAACACAATGCTCATAACATATTTGCTCAGTTCCCAGGAGAGACAAGCTACTGTTAAAAACAGGGACCGAGATCAGTGAAACAAATGGGAAACAATATTAGAGACTTACGATATGATATGACATTTCCTCTTTTTTCTGTTGATTGCATTATAACACTCAATCCAAGTAAATCCATTTCAAAGTTCATAAATCTTTCTTTTTTTCTTCCCTCATTTCAGTTGCACATGAATATTGGATTCCAGTAGCCTAACCCAGGGCTTTTCAACCTTTTCACCCATTGTACCACTTTTAGGATATGGCAACATCCGAGTACCACCAGTTGCCTAGCAAGGTGTCAAAAACTTGATGACCAAAAAAAGGGAAAAAGTGATAAAGTACAGGTAATCCTTGAATTACAACAGTTTGCTTAGTGACTGTTCGAAGTTACAATGGCACTGAAAAAAGTGCCCCTCAAGACACAGCCGAGCAAGATACCTGCCTGCCCACACAGCAGCGCTCTTCCTCCTGTCCAAGGTTTTCATTGTTGTGAGCATTTCTGTTGAGGTTTGGTAGCGGGGGTGGGGTGGGGGGGTGTTTGGTTTTTATTCCCCCCATCTGCTGGGTGGTTGCAGCAGGTTTTGGTCACTTCACATGACCCTGGGACACTGTGACCGTCATAAATATGAATCAGTTGCCAAGCATCTGAATGTAAATCACAAGACCCTGGAGTTTCTGCAACATTCCAGCTGATCGGCGCTTCTTCTGGGCTCAGCAGAAGCACCAGACTCAGTGCTGAGCTCCAGCTGGAGCCTGGCACTGATCCTGGCTGAGCCCTGACAGCCCTGAAGAAGTGCTGATCCTGGCGCTTCCGCTGAGCCCTGACAGCCCTGCAGCTCCAGCCATCTCTCGCTCAGGCTTGTGCGGTGCTGCCACCGGTTCAGCTCATTCCTCTCCCCCGCTACCACTTTTTTAGGATGGTCGCGTACCACCTGCCAGGTGCCAATGTACCACAGGTGGTACCCGTACCACTGGTTGAAAAGCCCTGGCCTAACCTATGATCATGAGCATTTGTTTTCTCTTTAGAAGAGTGTCACCCCCAGATCCATTTCTCATCACCTCAAGATCCATTTCTACTGGCCTATCGCAGAAGAAACCCTGAAATAAATTTCCAGTGCAAAGTCTTCAGTCGGCTTGCAGATTTGAGTGATGCAACCTGCCTACAATCTCAATCTAGCCTGATAGAGTGAAGTTGACTTGTCAGCGTGTTACCAGTTGCTAACAATTTCAAAAATCAGTCTTCCTTTGCAACTATTCTATATAAGCACATCAAAAAGAGTGCTTTGAAGCCTACTGGATAAAATATATTCAGGAATTAATTGAAAATGGAATGGCTCTGGAAAGAATGCAAAGAAGAGCAACAAAGATGATTAGTAGGCTGGAGGCTAAAACATACAAAGAACGGTTGCAACAATTGTGTATGTCTAGTCTAATGAAAAGGACCAGAGATCACATGATAGCAGTGTTCCAATATCTGAGGGGCTGTCACAAAAAAGAGGGGAGTCAACCTATTCTCCAAAGCACCTGAGAGCAGAACAAGTATCAACAGATGGAAACTAACCATGGAGAGAAGCAACCTAGAACTAAGGAGAAATTTTCTGACAGTAAGGACAATTAACCAGTGGAACAAAAGTTGTCTCCAGAAGTTGTGCTGCACTATCACTGGAGGTTTTAAAGAAGAGATTGGGCAGCCATTCGTCTGAAATGGTCTAGAGCACAGGTCAGCAATCTGTGGCTCTGGAGCCCCATGCGCCTCTTTGAGCCTTCTCCTGCGGCTCCCAGCCTCCTCTGCCATTTGCAGAGACAGAGAGAGGCACTTATGCTTCCCTTCTCTCTCTCTCTCTCTCTCTCTCTCTCTCTCTCTCTCTCTGTGTGTGTGTGTGTGTGTGTGTGTGTGTGTGTGTGTGTGTGTGTAAAAAAGAGAGTGGCCTTATCTGTTCTCCGACGAGCTGACAAGCTTATTGGGTGGGGCTCCTGCCTTGGCTGCGTCTCTGCAGGAAGCAGGAAGGGCAGGAGAGAGCTAGCCTGTTGGAGAACAGCTTGAAGCCAGCTTGCCAGGTGAACAGAAGATCGGAGAGAAAGGGGGGAGAAAGAAAGAGAGAGAGAGGGGAAGAGAAAGAGAGAGAGAGGGAGAGAAAGAGAGAGAGAGAGGAAAGAGAGAGAGAAAGAGAGAGTGGGAGAGGAAAGAGAGAGAGAGAGAGAGAGAGAGAGAGAGGGAGGGAGAGGAAAGAGAGAGAAAGAAAGAGAGAACTCATGCACAGCAGCCTCTATTTCTTTTTAATTAAACTCTTCAATCAAGCTTTTTCCCCCCTCGTCCGCGCATGCGCGCACAGGTTTTGCGGCTCCCAGTGTTTTCTTTTCTCTGGGAAATGGGTCCAAGTGGCTCTTTGAGTGTTTAAGGTTGCAGACCCCTGGTCTAGAGTTTCCTACTTGAGCAGAGGGTTGGACTAGAAGACCTCCAAGGTCCCTTCCAACTCTGCTAACCTGTTAGTTGTGCCATTACAAGAAATGGACAGTGCCAGGCCTTACCTATCTCCCATTGTAAATTGTATATCAAATTTATTTTCCTAATGTAGTCTTTCCTCTGAAAACTAGTTTTTTCCTCATAGATCCTCTTGATTGCTTTTGTCCTCTTTAGTGGACCCTTTTACTTCCTTACAGGTTAACTTCAACAAGTTGTCCATTGGCTACTTCACTCCCAGAGGAAGAAATGCTCCTTCAACTGAGGCAATAGTTGCTCTAATCCAGTGATGGAGAACCTTTTAGAGACCGAGTGCCCAAACTGCAACCCAAAACCCACTTATACATCGTTGAGTGCCGGGTGGGTGTGGCCCATTGGGTGGGCGTAGCCCAGTGGGTGGGCGTGGCTATGGTGGTAACAGCAGACTGGGTGGGACTAAAAAGTTCAATCAATCAATTCCAACTTTGCAAGATCTCTTCCCCGCGAGAAGTTGAAATTGACTGATTGATTGAACCTTTTTTTTTTTTGCACACGGTGGCAGAGGCCTAAGGCGAAAAGGTTTTATAAAACCCAGTTGAAGGCCTAGGACTGGGGCGACGGCGCGCGTGCCCACAGAAAGGGCTCTGAGTGCTACCTCTGGCACCCGTGCCATAGGTTCGCCACCACTGCTCTAATCTAAGAGTATTCTCGCCTTCACAATTAGTATTAAAATAACATAGTGGCTAACAGTATTGCCTAATATGTAAAAAGTTGCTGTTTTGAAACCAAGCATTACCTTTTAATTTTGAATTTTTGTATATGCATGTATATACATTTTACTTATGTGCATCTCTTTCTGTTTATATTTATGAACACATAAAAATATGCCCAGGAAGGAAAGTTTCCTTGAAACAAAAGGGAGATAACACAGCAGCTAAAGAATTGCCCTTTAGAAGGATGTGACAGCCTTCAGCAGGCCTTAATGATTTACAAGCTGTTTTAGAGCTTTTCAGTCTTGACAAGTTTCTTGATCCGGCTTAATCTTAAGCGGCCACGAGCACAACACAGGAATAACCTCAATCATAACTGCAAATATGCCCTAAGAGCAAAGGTGTATAATAATTATGGATTCTTTTCATCTCATCATTTTTATAGTATAAGAGAATGCAAAGTTGATTTCTGTATCCCTAGTATTTTTTTTCCCAGGACTCTGATCTCAGTGTTGCAAATTCTAATTTCCCAGTTGTTATCTTGTTGCCTGTAATTGGATCTTCTGCACCATGAAGAACCTGATAAGCATGGGACTGATTATAATTCTGATAGCAAGAAACTCCACATCTCTCTCTTTGAACAACAAAGTTACTTGGATATGAACAATTGTAGTGTTCTGAGATCGTATCTCTTTAATCTTATCTTGGTAGATTATTTGAAGCTGCAGTTCAAACTATGGACAAACTTAAAATCAAAATAGTTTAAGTTTCATTGAGGTCCATCTCCCTGTGCCTAACATTAGCTAAGATTATATTCAGGTAACACACTATACCACAGATTTAGCCAAGCAAATGTTGACCTAGCATTTTTGGGGAACCCAACTTGTGCTATCAATTTATAGTTCAACACATCAAACAATTCCAGAAAACTGAGTTGGGTTAATCATGCCCAAACTAATCCCAAGCTGGTACATTAGGCAAACAGTGCCTAGTAGTATACAGAAGCTCTTATAAGCCACTCAATATGGAATATTTCACTACCTTTATAGCACAATGCCCGCTTCTTCTTCCTACAAGGCTCGTCATTCCATTTTCCAGCTTCAAAGTCCCTCTTAATATAAATCTCAACACAGTCTTGGTTGGACAGCCTGTTGTTAGGTTCCCGATAAGCCCAGTTCTCTGCCTCTTTGGTCAGGGCCTTTCTGGTTCCTACCCATGTCCAGGTGTTGTTTATTTTCCGGATCCCAATCCAGTAGTATTTTGAATGTTTTGGTAAGACTTCATTGAGATAGGCAATTTCTTCTTTGTTCTGGATTGCTACCAGGTCAGTATACCAGGTCTGGCAAAATGTCCGTGCATCTTCCCAGGTTAGGTCTGATTTGGCCCCAAAGTGATAAGTCCAGGCATCTACATGAAAGAGGAGTCCTGCCAGAAGAACAAATAGCATCAGGAAAGAAGAAGCTTCAGCTAGACTATACTAATGTTATTGGAAATAATAATGTACCAGGCCATTTAAAGACTGCAAGACTATCTTTACCCTGAAAAGGGAAGAGTGATTTGTGCCACCTGTTTAATAATAAGAGTGAGGTTCTTTGATCCTAATAATTGCTACATGACAGGAGTTCAACAAATGCAACTTTTCTGAAATAATATAGAACAATTGCTGTTAACAGTTTCTGGCAATTAAAAGTTCTTGAGGGAGCAACGTACCACTTACAAAGGAATTGTGTCTGATTAACCATTCTTTACTCAAATATAAATAGATCAGGCTTGTGTGATGTCTCAGTTTCAGGCCTTATATTTATTCTTCATAACCTTCCTTAGACAAAAAAATCCAGTTTTATGTAACTGGGCAAGTCAAAATCTATGAAATCTACAATCAATTGTTGTATATGATTTTAAATGTTATTTTAATAAATTAAAATGACTATCTTTAGATTATTATCTCCGAATAAAATAAATAAGCATTCTATTTTTATTATTCAACTAGACAACCATGACCCTTTGGGTCATCCTTTTAGAGAGATTTCCTCTCTTCTCAATGCTTTCAACCATAATAGCGCTTCTAATGTACTTCCTTCACTGGAAAAGCTAGGATTCATTTAGAGATGTATCTGCGTTAAAATAGCCCATGTTGAATTATATAGAACAGTAAAACATCAGCATAGGAAAATCTTTTATGACATCTTGTATTACATCAAAAGCTGTTTTATAATCATTTTTATGTCATAAAAGGTTTTCTAAAATTTGCCTCAGGACTCTTGGGCCTCAGATTTTCAATGCATTCTGTAAGTTAGCCCATTTGACATACCTCGGTTCAAAATGTTTTGCCCTGTGGTGCACCTCTTTTCCCAGTTAAAAATATAGGAAAGAGGGTTTTACTAGTATATACATTTTTAACACTCCTATGAAACCACTATTAGGCATTAGCATTTTTTTAAAAAATATTTTATTTTGCACCGATGATGTCACCTAGTTTGGGTAATGAAATGTCTGCAAGAAAACAACCAAGCTCAGAGAGCACCAAGGACCCTTATGTTTGATTTTTTTTAAAAAACAAAGCAGTAACAGCTATTTCTTTGTAAATTTTTAATTTTTGATATTTAAATATCATTTTATTCTTATCAAAACTACTTTGGGCTTAGAAAATAGTGTATAAGATTTTGCATTAATGATTTTTTTTCCTGATAACTACAGGAAAGAAGACTTTGCTTTCTAAAAGATTACATACTACAAGCAAAATGTCACAATTGTGACCATTTCAGGAAATTGTCCCTGATAATAAGAAGTAAAACATCTGGTTTAACATGATTTCCAGTGCAATATACTTTTTTTTCCCTGGAATGGTGCCTACATCAGAATCAAGCCGGCCACAAATACATTTGGGTTTTACAACTTCTAATCTAGAGTTTCTTCTTCTTTTACTCCATAATTTGTGCATTTCATTGCATAAAATCAAAATGTTATTTTCACTAAGTTTAAAGATTACTTACCCCAACTAATAATAGTAAGCAAAAAGCAGTCATCTGCCCATCTGTACCAGAACTGCCCATTGACCAAAGCCTGTGGATGAAAAATAAGCATGTACTATTTAGCCATGACCTTAAGGTCCAATAAATTAATGGAAGTCCAACAGCCTCCATATTTGTTAGTAAACTATAGATTTCTAAACCATTGATTGGATGCACTCATAGAATATCTTGGCTACTGAACAAACAAGGTTTAGATCAGGATGCTTTACAGAGGAATGATGTCCAATTCTATACCATTTAGCGAAAAGTCCTTTAGCAATTCTAAAGTGGCCTTTTTGCCTTCATTGATTTAAAGGTGGTCTTCAACTCCATCTCTCATGACAGGTTCTGCAATAAATTAGCCAGAATATCTTTGGATAATTGGTCTTCTCAGCTTGATAATTTCATTATATCAAATCTCTGTGATGCAGAGTCTGTTAAGGACTAAAGTATCTAGGCAATGACTTCTAATATCTCTTGGAATAATGCACTGAGTTCTATCATATCTCAAGAAGTCATACTTAGTGTGCCTCAATCAACTTCAAATATCGTTACTCAGTTAACAGCTTAGCTACATCTCTTCTAAGGCCTAACCCTTATTATGGTGTGATTTCAGGTTCATCATGGACAATTCGTAATTTATAGCATCTTAAATTATGGATTCAAGTTTAAGAAAGAGGATTTTTACTCTAGCTCAACTTGATGTACTATCCATATTATGGAGATAGTAGGCTACAGTATATACTACTTTCCCATAAAGTAACCATGTGTTTGTTCCAATATAGAAGTTGAATCAGTACCCCATATATTGTTACACTGTTCTTTATATTATCTATGGTATCTGGCATTCATAAATCAGATTGTTAAATTTTTTTAGTTCTCGTTGATCAAGAAATCAGTGTTTTCCTTCTGCAGATCTGTGAGGATCTTCACTACACCATCAGCCACTCCCCCCAGCCAGGTAACCCCTTCCCCCCAGCCAAATTTTCAGGCTCTTCTGGAAGGCCAGGAATATGGAAACAACCTCATCTTCAGCAGGAAAATATTCCAGAGAATGGGGGCCACAGAAGAAAAGGTCCTTCTATTGGACCCCACCAGCCAAAATTTGGCAGAATCCGAAGTAGACTTTTCCACTGGAATGAGTAGGACTTATTAAAGAAATTTAATAAACTCATATTTGGACAAGGCGACAAGTACAAAAGGGAAAACATGTCAAATCTAATCAAAGTAACATTTAAATAGATACAGTCATATATCAAAGAAATATTTCTTGACATTATTAATCTATTCCACCATTGCTTCACTATGAATGGGAGAGGAAGAGTACTCAGCTGAAACAAAACCCCAAATCAGCAACTTAAGAAATTAAACTTCTTTGTCACAAATTCCCAGATGTTTTCTTATATCTCTCTTCTTAGAATACAATAATCCCCTACGAAGTTAGAGCTGATACAGAACTGGAGGCATCTGTCCGAAAGAAGTATTCTATCCACAGTAACCACCAGATGCTTATCAGAAAGCTCCAAAAAAGGACATGAAAACAATGACACTTCCCCACTCCTCTTGCTACAACTCTTGAGAACCATTTGTTAGTTAAGGTGGGCCAGACACATAAGTGGAAGGTATACTAGCATTGCTTTCATTCTATGCATTTAATGTTGGACTATGGTCCACACAGTGTGATGCTATAGCCTGACAGTGATGTTCCAGAGTTTCAGACAGGAATGACTTCAGGATCCACTACATGCAAAGCAATGGTTCTTTTGCTGAGCCATGATCCTGATTACAGTGGGACTTATGCATGGAATGGTAAAAATATTAGAGACTCCCTAGAATTGTAGTAAAATATAAGAATTAAACTATATTATTAATAAATTTGAATATGATTTTTAAAGTTAAATCAGAGAAATCTAGTATAACATTTTTCAGTTGGATCAGATCATTCAAATCTGCTTATGCATGTAAACATATAAGTCATATTGAGTCCCATCCAACTATGTAACCTAGAGATCCATGCCAGTACACATCTGGCTAATTACAGTTGTACTTAATGCCATTCAAGATGGTCATAGTTCACCCATACTCCTCCCCCGCCCTCATTTTATATACCTAGAATCATAGCTGCAGAGTTGACTGCATGTATCCAGACAAAATGCTGTAATGCATTCTTCTAATGAGAACAATTAGTACTTTTACACAGGATACACTGAATTTTCTCAATTGCAGTGCTATTGCAGAGAGGAGCTTACACCATCCCCTGACTATTTAACTATAATCTGGGCTATGTCACATACCTAGGAAAAAAGAGCACCTACCATTTTCACAGAGATTCTTTTTATTTCCTCTTACACACCTTTCCTTATGCGGCTTCTTGTATCAGCACTTCCTCTAAAAGTGCCTAGAAGCTGATTGCATCCTTTTCCTATTGCCTTCTTCACTGGACCGCCCTGCCACAGCCACATGCAGTTAACTCCTTGCCAGCTATTGGCCTGAATATTTAAGCCCTGCTTTTCTCAGATTTGGGCATAAATCTAGCTACATGGTGATATACTTTAATTTTTAAGGCTGTTATAACAAATAGTATCCATAGTATAAACCTGAAAGCAGTAAGTGTACCTATTCATGGGCTACACGTAAATATGCTTATATATATATAGAAGCACTAAAAACCAGGAATAGTCAGATGTTGTGGTAGATTCATAGAAACATTTTGGTAGAGTCAGGAATAAATTCTAAGAGGCACTGTTTTATGTGTTTTCCGTCACCTTAATACTAAGTACAAGGGTTGTCTAAGTTTACAATAGCCCAGCGCTATGTGTTTTGCCAATTAATTAGTTTCATGAAAAACTACAATATCCTGTACAAAAACATTAAAAACTAAAGAGAACAGCGGCAATTGAAATCCAGCAGCCATAAGGGATTTGGAAATGGGGGGTAGGCAGGGGGGCTGGAGGACTATGCATGATTTTTTTTCAAAGTAATATTTTTATTAGGGCTCTTTTCTCTGCTGTTTCATACATTCCTAGAACTAAGTGCCGAGTTACTATGTCTGCATGCTTGTAAATAAATTTTGTTTTTCTCAGTCAGGACCCTGTTCATTATTCTATGCTTAAATATCAGCTATATCAAGTCGTGCAGTCAGTCCTAATGTCAGGCCCACACCTAAATTAAATATAATTCTATATCCATCTACAATTCCTTGTTGTGATAAGGATGATGTGGACTTCTACAACTGCTGTAGGAAGAAAATATTTAAGAGAAAATATTCTGATAAAAAAATTAAGAGTGCAACAAAGTCACTTTATTTTGGCTTGCATTTGTCACTTTCAAACTGTGCTTAATGTTCTCATACTAAGATCTTTATCTAATTCAATATTATTTTACAAATTTTTGATTCTGTATTGTGTTTGATTCCTACATTTGCTACAGCTTACATATCTGGATTGCATACATCTGAATGACCCTTTAGAGGACAATAAAGGCACAGAGGAACAAACTCTTCACTATCATCTAGTTGTGACTGAGATTTTTGCAAATTAGATCTGATCACTTGTACTTCTTTGCAAACTGTTGTGCTATTGCAACCCATAGGAAACATCAGTGTATATTATACAAACCACACACAAGAAAAACCAGGATTAAAATAGAAACAAAATCCAATACAACATAAGCCAAAGACATTGCCAAAAAAAATCCTCTGTCATATTGGTACAGCTTTGGCAAATGGTTTTACAACTTCTGTTTGTGATTCTGGCAAGACCTAATAGATGACTTAGATAGGTCAACCTCTTCTTATTTTTCTTTTTTTCTAATATGGTGGCAATCTCTATTAATGTCTATGGTTCTATCAAGTTGGGGCGTTAACATCACTTCATCTATAAAGGGGCCCTCCCACTGACCAACATACACCCTGATGACGTTGATAGATATTCAACAAAAGCTAGGTTTTTAAATATTTATTAAAACTTTTTTGGTTTTAACTCTTCCTGGTGTTCTAGTGTTGTTGTACAGCTTTTAACATATATATATGCAGTCAGAAAAGACTGTGCAGTCAGAAAAGAGGAACCAACTTCTTCCCTGGTCCAACACCTTAAAGCCACAGGACATAAAATTGACTTTAAAAAGACCAGAACTATTGCCAAAACTGAACACTTTAACAACAGAATAATCAGAGAAGCCATCGACATAGAAAAACGCCCACACAGCATGAATAAACGAGATGATACCTCCCGCCTACCAGCCATTTGGAAACCCGCCCTTATTGGCAAACGAGTCCCTAACACAAAGAACGACACCAGACCCACACCCACGAAAACCACACAGGAGGTCACCACCACACATCCATGCAAAAAGCAAACCCAAACCCACACAGATGACGAGGCACGACCACAAACTAGAAGCCAGTCCACAGCAGCATCATTAGCCACTTTAAACCTCTCCAATCCATACATGAAGCAAACTGACACCCACCATAAAGATGTGGCACGACCACGAACACGAAGCCAAACTACAGCAATGAAGCTCACCATCTCAAATCCCCCTGCAACTCAGACTAACCAGAGCACAACAAAGCCCCCACCCAAACAGAACACTCCCCCAGCCAATCAGAGCACAGCCAACCCCCCAGCCAATCAGAGCACAGCCAAGCTCCTTAACCAATCAGAACACACATCCACCCAATCAGAACACAGCCAAGCTCCCACCCAATCAGCTCAAACCCCACTGGCAGTTAAAAGGAAGAAACAGCAGCGATCGCACACTACTCCCAGAAGCACGAAGCTGAAGACACCAGCCTGAAGATGACGAATGTGACTTCGTTGAAACGTCGCCAGGACACTTCCAATTTTACGCGGGAGAGAACCCAAATGACCAAAGACCTACATATATATATACACACACTCATCTTTGACTAGCTGAAAAGAGCACTATCCTATAAGTACATGTTGAAATTCCCTTTTTTCCCCAAAAAAGAATTCTAAAGCAAATTCATTTTCAACAAATTACAGGAGAAGTAGTAGAAGAAACGTCAAAAGGATTGGAATTGGCAAAGGGCTGGTTACAACACTGATTAAGAAGACATAATAGTTACATAGGTATATGTCGTAGAAAATGAATTTGTACTAGAATGGGGTCATTTTGCCCTCTGCAACAAATTTTTTGGAACAAGAGATTTCTTTAGAAATCAAATAGTTTGTTGGAGTGTTAATGATGCTATGAATCTTTTTCTTATGTTCAGCTGGTACATCTCAGAACACCACCATGCCATGCATTTCCAATTGCTCCTTTCCTGGAAAATGTGTCTGGAGTAAGTCCCAAAAATTATTATTCCTTCTGGAATGGGGATACATAATTTGTAGAATAATGCTGGAACACACCCAAAATCTAGTGCAAACAACTGGAGAGCTAGTACTGACTATTCTCAATTTATTTTTTCCTCACTTGAAATGCCTTAGCTCTATAGGAAGCTCTTTGATTCATCTGATTTTTCCCAGACGCAAAGCCCGCTTGAATTAAAACAAAACAACCATGTTTCCGATATTCTCAATCAGCTTTGAGTAGACAAAAGGAGGAAGTGACTTTTCAATGTACTTTCTAGAAATGTCTTTAGTAGATTCTTTAATTGACCAGACACAAAGGACATGCAAAGAAGACAGAAATTCTCCACAAAGATTGTTTATTTGGATCCAGAACAAGAACAGAAAAAAAGCTGATGAAAGACAGAGAATGAAAAGTCAGTTACCAGTGATGGGGGGCATTCAAATGGACTTGGGAAGTATACACTCAGTTGTTTCCAGTGTCATTTTATATGTGATGGGAAAACAAAATGGGATGCAACAAATGTGAAATAATTTGTAATGCTCAGGATGGGTATAGATGAAGGCTATTGAATTCTTCTCATCTCCTGACTCTATCAGTTCAGGCACTTTCCCCCCACTGATTCATTTTCTGTATCTGAGCAGGCTGGAATGACAGAGAAGAAGGAAGGGATGTAGATGAAAGTAGAGACTCTCTTTAAAGTTATGGCTTAGGTATCTGCAAGACTACTGCCTCTTCAGGGAGGACCATCCTGTCTGGTGTGATCAGCTACAAGGAGATGCTAAGAAGACTGGAGGAGGAGTGGGTGGGTTTTGTGTTATACCCATATGTATGAAGCAAGATGCTCCTGTAGATCCTAAATTTCATTCTAGAAAGCAGTAAAGAAAGCCCAAACATTTTGTAGTCCCTTTGGTGTCCATATTTTGGACACCAGGATGTGGCTTTATATTTGGGACAATTTATTACTATTTGATGATATTTTAATGCTTGAAACTGCCATGAGTTTAAGTTGGTAGTCTATAAATAAGGTACGTAAATTAATATATTTCTTTAGTCTTCCATTGTACTTTATTGAATCAGATATGTAGATCTTTATTGTTATAAAACCTCAAACTGTACTTGATCAGAAGTAATAGCTACATAAATATACAGCTCTGGGTAGCATTCAAACTATCCTTACTTTCCTTTAATATACATACAATTAGTACAATTGCATTTCAACAAGCACAGAACACATAGATCTGCTGGAAATGATAGGAGTTGAAGTCAGCCTTACTCAAAGGCTAACTTACCTGTGTGTAGAGACATGCAAAAAAAGCTTCAAATTCAATGTAATCTTTCTTCAGAGCAAGTCTCATTGAATAGGGCTAAACTTTCTAACCGAAGTGAACATTTGCAAACATATTTCTGTGTTTTGACTTTCTTTATATGCTTGAGAATGAAGAATTCAAGCTGCACTAGTTGGCAGTGTAATTCTGAGAGTGATTCAAGTTGCTAGTTATGACCTACAAAGCATAGGGCCTAGTTGTTTAAGGAGCCATTTTATCTCCCATGATTTCTGCCCATCTGGTACAAGCTGATAGAGTCGGTATGCTGCAAGTCCCCTGAACTAAACAGCTTCATCTTTTGCAACCTGGGAAGCACTCTTTCTCTTGTGCAGTCTCTGCCTTCCAGAATGAGGTCCCCTCTGAGACCCTGACCCTGATAGCCTTGCAGTAGAGTGAGCGGTGGCCTCGGCGGCTTCGGTGGTGGTGACGGCGGCCTCGGCGGCGGCCCCGCGGGGGCCCTCGGCGGTCTTGCTGGTGGCCTCGGCGGTCTTGCTGGTGGCCTCGGCGGCTTCGCTGGTGGTCCTTCCAGCGACCAGCGGCCCCCCCTACAGCGGGTGGTCTCCCTTGGCCATGGAGTCATTTTCTGGCGGCCTCCGCGGCCTTCCTGTGGCCCTTTTAGACCTGTGGGCCCCTCTGGTGGCCTTTGGCGGCCCTCTTGGACCTGTGGGCCTTCCTGGCAGCCTTGGCGGCCCTCCAAGAACTGGGCCAGCGGACCCCCCAATGGCCCCTTGGCAATCCACTCTGGCCTCGGGGGCCTTTTGGGTGGCTCTCTAGCAGTCCCGGTGGCCTCGATGACCCCTCCAGCGGCCTTTGGGTGGTCTGGGGGCCTCGGTGACAGCTTTGGGCCGCGATGGCCCTGACGGCCTGTCCAGCGGCCTCCCTGAGGGCCCCTTTGACCGTTTCGGGCCCGGCGGCGTTCGTGGCCCCTTGGCGACTTTTCGGCTTTGGGGCTCTTTTGGTGGCTCCGGGACCTTAACGGCCTTTCCATCGGCCTCGGCCAGGTGTCGACTAGGTGCCTGGTTATTGGACCTGGCCCGCCTTGGCCTAGAGGACCGGGCTCCGGAGGACTTGGAGACCATCTTCTGAGGTCAGACATTGTGCTCCTTGGCTGCGGTCAAAAGATCTAAGATCCACCGAACAATTAATCTCCCCTCTGCACCATGGACTCCCCACCTCGGACCTATGCATTCCAGGACGGTCCTGTTGGCTCTGCGCGACTCACCCCTCGCGCAGGCCTGGCCCACCAACATTTCCAGGGCCTACCTCGATGA